CTTCAGGGGCTAGCAACGCATCTAGAAAAATGAACAAACTTAAACAGTAATCATTGTAAAATTAAACAGTAAGTGCAAATACAACATGGGTACTGTCTTACATGAGAGGTAAACAGTGAGTATTATATGATAGAGAACTCCTCAATGCAGCAAACCAGCTCCCTCAACCGACCAAAGCCGGAACCCCACCGATGGGTGTGTAAATAAACAGAGAAAAAACAAGATTTCAAAGTGGGTAACATAGCATTTGATGAGTTTCTTCACATTGGACAAGTGAAAAGGCCATCCTACTATGTCCAATTATCACAGATAGATGGACATCATTACAAACAGCTTCTTTTGTAACTGATATACCAGTAGCTGAGAATGGACAGCAGACCTTCAGAGGATAGCATAAAATGCACAACACAGTTGTGATCATTCCATTACTGTGAAATTGTTTGAAAAACATGTCTCAAAGGCACCTTCATTTGTTGTGAAGTCCCATAACTGTATTCGATGAATGTATTCTTTTATTGATTCAGACTTTCCCCATTAGGATTTTAATCTAGGAGACACCTAAATACAAAGGGTAAAATCAGCTTAATTTCAGCATAGAGTTCTCTTCATGATAACCTATGTACTGTACATATCACATCTTTTTGAGGCCATATTGTGAAAGATTTTGTCAAGTTCATGTTTATTTTGCTCATTCTTTTTCTATATGCCTCTCTAGTTTGTCACCTTCTATGCTGCCCACTTCTTTAAACATTTTATGGTTAGCATTCCTTTCTGACAGATTATAACATAAACAATAAACTGTTCTAATATCTAATGGACAACGATGGCTATTAAGATAGATTAAAGATAGTTGCCATCTTTAATATACCATTTACTGGACATCAGCTAGTAGCCAGATAAAAATTAACCTTTTGTTCTTGAACACCATATACTCAGAATTGTACATTGCAATGACATTAGTGGAAATAAAATAAAAGCAGCATTTTGCCTAATGTGATGGATACAATAACACATTTGTTATCTTTCATAGGAAATTGATGCAGTGTACAAGTTTGTAAATATTTAGTGCTGAAAGGTCTAGAAATATCAGTGAATCAGAATCTGCATTAGCAATATACAGCAAAGGAGGCAGCAATGAAGGAAACCTGTAATCAGTGACATTTGAGGGCTGTCAAGGCTGATTTCCTTCTAAAAAAAGCTAGTTGCTTGGTTGACTCTGGTTTTAAAACATCTAGGAGATACAAATGGTCAGTCAAAAAACAGTTAAAAAGAGACCGCTAAGCCTCGAGCATCCTATTGTACATGAGAGTAGCATAACCAATTCCTCAGTTGGGTTTATCACAATAGTGAGTTTACCATAAAAACAAAAACATAACAGCTTTAACAGACTTTGCACACTCTATATAAAATATGACAAGGCTGATTTTTATTAACAGTCAATCTGTGGGCAGCAAAAATTACAACCTTATTTATTTTAAATTATCAAATTGTAGAATGTCAGCATACTGTTTGCTGTTGGATCACATGTATTTCTTCAAACTGAAAACATCACATGTATTCCTTTTTTTTTATTATGCCTAAGGCCTCTGTAGGAGACTGAAACACTTCAATATGTACGGGCATTGATTCCTCTTTTTATGTGATGAATGAAATAAATTTGCATTTTTAATTTAAGAAGCTGTGGTGCCTGATTTTCACTTCTACATTGTATTCCATTTAAACGTTTGCATGGTGTCATTTGCTAAACATAACTAGTGACTCCTGATGTTTTCCAAAGAAAAACCTACCACTGTCAGATGTCCATTCTTGGCTTTGTACACCTGTGGCTCGGTCCCCGATGTAAAATCAATAGCCCCTTTGCTGCCTTGGAATTGAAATGTCATGCTAGAAAAAAATGCATTAGGATATTACCAGAATGAACAATACCTTCCTAGGTGCTGTCCATACAATAAATGTTTGTGAATGATTTACAGAAAGTAGCATATATGGCAGATATTAGAAACAAATTTAACTCATGCTTTACCTTCCATGACCTATCTTGATTGCATCTTGCTTAGAAGCCAGTATGACCAGCTTAGTGGCAACTTCAAAAATATGATCACACTGTAATATAACGTCTCCCTGCAATGAAAAAAGGGCTGGCAGTACTACCAGTGAAACTTGGAAGAAAAACTATACCATGATGTTTAAAAGATTTAGCCACACCCTGTTGTAGACATCTCCCTCTACCATTTGCTCCTCTCTAACCCCACATTTTTTTCCTGCCTAGTCAGTGGTTCAGCCCATCTATTCACTATTCCAAGCTCATAATGCCCTGTTAACAATTGTGCGATTTCAGATGTGAATTGAGTCACATAGAATCGCATGACAATGGAAATCACATTGCTTTCAATGGCGTCCGTTCAAAATAATGCAACTCAGCACAGCAAGATTTTGGAACAGGTGTGATCCCAGCATACAGGGTGTGATACTTTGGTGTGGTCCCAGCATACAAGGTTGGGACAAGGTGGGGGGCAAAGGCACGTGCCCTGGGCGCCACGTTGAGGGCGGTGTGCTGGTAATGTGGCCACTTGTCCTGACCCTTACTGACAGGAATGCCTGCAGTGTCACTCCTGACAAAAGGAGCAGCAGCCACGACTGCTGGAAGAAGGATTCAGTTTTTTCTCCTCCCTCCAGCCTGCAGGGGGCTTTAGAGAGCCAATATTGTGACTGAGAACTCACTTCAGTCACAATACCTCTGTGAGGTCAGATTGTCATGTTTCCTTCCTACCCTTGTCTTGTAATAGATCACAAGATCAGAGTGTGGAAGAAAGAGAAGTTGTCTTCAAGCTTTGGGAGGGTACAATGTTACTCTGAGTCATCTGTGAGTACCAGAGAAGGAGGGAGGGGAACAACTCTGTCTCAAACCTCTCCTCTCCTCCGATCCTCTCAGCCTCCTCCCTCTCTTAGGCTAGGTTCACATTTGTGTATTGCAGGAACATGCGAAAAATTGCACAAATTGAGTGTATTCCTGCAATGCACAAAAGCACATAGCCCTTTTGAAAATTATTCTTAATGGCACCCCCAAGGATGTGTACACTCATTTGCTAATGTGTGCACTCATTTGCCTGCACCAAAATGCATGGCAGTGGTGCAGCACAATTTTTATAAAGGGTCGTGCACTTCTTTTGTGTGTTTTGTGCATAGCACAACCAACGAAAATGAATAGGCTCCCCTAAACGTGCTGTGCAGAGACATGAGCACTCAGTCTCACCTGCATAGGTGTGAACAAAGCCTTAGGGATAGTTTACACTTGCAGTGGCCCTCTGAAGAGCAATTCATAGTGGATTGCTTTTTAGATGACACTTGACAGGTGGTGGTGAGGGGCAGTATGTTACCACCTGCTTTAACCCCACTCCACTGTGCCAAAACTACACGCATTGCATGTGGTTGCAGGGCAGTTGCAGCTCAGCTCCATTCATTTGCATGGGTTGCCTTCAGAAGGTGGTATTGACTGTCAAAAATGATCATTTTTGCAGCACATTTATGCCCCCTTTTGGCTGCCTTTACAGCTCAGGAGGAGCAATTGGCAGGCAGACAAAACTTGAACCAACTCCCTGTCTTTACTACTTCCACCTCCTCCAACCGCAAGTGTAAACATGGCCTTAGGGTTTATTCACATGGGGGAAAAAAAAGTAAGTTGAGCCACATTTTTACTACCCACCTGAACGAGGAGATGCAGCTGCTCAGCACTGTACACATGCCATGGCTGCGATGCTGTGCCCCACGGCCACAACAAAAATTACATTGAACAGGGATACAGTCTAGGCTGCAGCTGCATGGAATGCACACAGCTGCAGCATAGTAGGTTAAAACAGGCTGCGAAGAGGTGACATATTGCCTCCTCAATGTCAGTAAAACGCCCTCTGAAAAAGTAATCTGCAATGAATTTCAGAGAGGCAATAATAATAGCCCTAGAGCCCTTTTAGCACCTCTTTCTCCCTCAGAACCCCCTAGCCCACCCCATTAGTGCTATGCACCCATCAGGTCTTCCCTTCCCTTTTTTATTCCACTGACAGTCCTCCTCAAACTGACATCAGTGATGCAGCAGAATTTTTTTTCCACTGACACTGAAGCAGCAACTTAGCAATGCCTCTGACACGGGAATTTTTTCCCTTCAGTGACACCACCACTAATACAAGGACATTTTTTCTTTTAGTGGCACCACCAACACAGGGAAATTTTTTTTCTTCGCCACTGCTAGCCCCATATTTGTGCGTTGGTTTTAAACTCTCCAGTTTGCTGCAGTGTACCACAACTATTGGTACTATTTCAGCACACATCACAAACATTACATACATTTCACTCAGCACATCACTATTAGCCCTGTTGAGGGAGGGGTGGGCACAGTTTGCCATTTTTTCCCTGGCCACTTGATGACCTTGTCTCAGAACTGCCAGTGATTTTGGCCCCATAGATAATGCAAAGCACATCCAGGTTGCACTATATAAACGCACTGGAAATCGGGTCAAAATCAGATTGCAGTAGTGTGACTTTAGCCGAAAGGGCTCTTAACCACTAGCCTACAGGGCACTTCCTGCCCAGGCCAATTTCCAGCTTTCAGAGCTGTCTCACTTTGACAATTGCGCAGTCATGCAACATTGTACCCATATGAAATGTTTATCTTTTTTTTGTGACAGATAGAGTTTTATTTTGATGGTATTTAATCATCTCTGGGTTTTTTATTTTTTCTTAAACCAAAAACCACTGAAAATTTTGAAAACAAAATTTTTTTTCTTAATTTTTGTTATAAAATTTTGTAAATAAGTGATGTTTCTTCTTCATTGATATGCGCTAATGAGGCTACAGTGATCGGCACTGATAGGCGGCACTGATGGACACTGATAGGTGGCACTGATGGGCACTGATGAGCAGGCACTGGTGGGTGGCACTGATGGGCATTGACAGGCAGCACTGATGGGCACTGAAAGGCAGCACTGATACATGGCACTGATAGGTAGCACTGATAGGTGGCACTGATAGGCAGCACTGATACATGGCACTGATAGGTAGCACTGATTGGCAGCACTGATAGGTGGCACTGAAAGGCAGCTCAGATGGGCACTGATATGTGGCATTGATGAGCACTGGTAGGCATTGATATGTGGCATTGATGTGGCACTGATGGGCACTGGCACGAGGCACTGATGAGCACTGACACAAGGCACTGATGGACACTGACAGGTGGCGCTGCTGGGGCTACAGTGATCATCAGGGCACACTGATCATCAGTGCCCTGATGATCAGTGTACATGTCCCCCTCCGCGGAAAGCCGATTACCGGTTCTCCTCTCGAACTGTCAGCGTGACAGCCCGAGAGGAGAGAAATGCCAATAGCCGGCATTTCCCTGTTTACATGTGATCAGCTGTGATTGGTCACAGCTGATCACATGACCAAGCGACATCTTCGCTCTTTCCCTGCTCCACTTTCCGAGGCACAGTGCCTCGATTGCCGCGCTGCGCGCGCTCCCTGAGCTGCGCATGCGCTGTGAGAATGGGAGGACGTCATATGACGTCCTCCCAGAACGAGAGAACCACTTTGTGTCCATCATATTAGTATATGGCGGGCAGAAGGTGGTTAAACAACACTATCCTACAGGCCTGGAAAATTTAGACTGGGTACACAAGGTCCGAATATCGACCACTTCAATAGGAGCTGGCTGACATTCGGACCATGTGTACAGCTGTTCTTCCGAACAGAAGTCAGTCTAAGGACTGGCTTTTGTCGAAAAGACATACTGGAAAACCAGCATCTGATCAAAGCTCACAGCCAATGGCATGTGATTATTATAGCAATAATCACTGACTCTGTGGGAGGGATTCCCCCACCAACACGGTGTTGATGGGGAAATCGAGCGAATCGTGGTTGCAGGAAAGAAATTCGCTCCATGCATGGCCTCCCTTAGTTAGTACAGCAATCTGGAATGAATGTGTGTACAAGGATTAACCAATGTAAATGTTCATTCAATTCATTCTAATTGTAAACTACATTAGATGTTTTAGCCCCTGCATGTGTGTGACTGTTGTTATCCCCTCTATGCATGCAGATGACAAGTTCTTCTGATCCAAATGCTTGTTCTCCAAGAAAAACTTCTGCATCATGTGGGAATCAATAGAAGCAATCAAACAATGTAAGTTGAACATATGGACAGTAATTCTCAATCAGATTAGATTTGGCCTAAAATAATTTTTTGCCCAACAATTACGTTTTATATGGGTGAAAGTTTATTTGTGTTGCACCAGTGAAGATATTTCTTATTGTGTCACAAATTGTGGCTGACAACACTCTTTGGATTCCAGGAACAGTTCCACATTTTAAGGACTTGCATCTGGAAAGGACACTGATTCTGAAAATCATCCATTCCCAGAATAATTGCCTCTACGGGGAGGTTCCATTGTGGGAGAGTTTCACCCCTATAAAGGTGATTATTATTCGTTTCCTCTTACCTTTTGCTTATTGTCTTCTGGAGATACATGAATTATAATAAATCCATCACTCATGTCACTGACAGAAATTTCTGGAAAGTAAGAAATCAAATTAACCATATACAATTTTAGGTTGAATATATATCTATTGAAGATGAACAATAATCCAGTAAAAAGCGTAAGATACAAAAGTATTAAAGGTTCCAGTACAACGCATGTAGTCAATCCTATCCATAGACAATATGATTCATAAATGTAATGGTCAATAGTAAAGACATGGGCCTGGAAACCAGTGGTGTGTTCTACCAGTGGTAACAGGAGAGTGGACTATGAGGTGTAATGAATCCATTGAAAATGTATATTGGAATCCAATGAATATAACATGCAAATAAGGGGGAAGAGGGAGGGGATGCAAGAAGGGGAAAGAAAAAGTAGGACAGAGGAAAAGGAGAGAAGAGAATATATAGAATAGATTGGGCGATAGGATGGTCCATCCACTTTTAATTCAAAACCCATATGGCTTGAACCATAGGGAGAAAGACAGCATTATGGTTAATGGGGTGGGGAGGCAAACTCACCCAAGGATGCTCGGGTGTGCAATGGTGCCTCAAGTAAAGTTTGAAAGGAAGGTGTGCAGTACTCAACTGCAGAAAAAAGATTTATAAAAGGAGTCCCCATACTGGTAAATCTCAAGGCATTCAATGCAGGATAGGGTTTTTAAACAATTCAGAAGCTGAATAGTGTATCCAGCTACACCACAAGGGTATTAAATTTATCCCAGGAATTTGCTTATTGTGCCTGCATCTCCTCCATCAACATGATATCCTTAATAGTGTCTACCCATTGTGTTAAGGGGGAATGGACTTGGATTTCCAGAATCTGGAGATCAGTTAATGACCTGCCATAAGAACCTTAGGAAGCAGTTCTTTTGGGATTTTATAGAGCCTGGGAGTATCGATAAGAGTGCTATGGAGGGGGATAGGGTGAGAGACTCATCATAGATATTGCTTTAAATTTGAAAGATAGCATTCCAAAATGGCCTTACCCGGGTGCACTCCCACCAGATGTGCAAAAATTTACCTTGTCTATTGAGGCAACACCAACAGTCCTCCGAGGCGAAGGGAAAATACGGTGGAGGTTGGCAGGTTCTTTATACCACCTAGATATTACTTTTTTCCTGTGCATAACAGGATATAGAGGATTTATGTGTATAAGTAAGGGCTTTATGCCATTCCTCAGGGGGGTGGGGGTGAACTCTCTCCCCAGATCTCCACACTACATTCTTGTAAAGGTTGTGAGGTTCCCATGAGTAGATTGTAATATAGATTTATAAACAGTGGCGACTGTGTGGCGGGGTGGTTCGGAAAGTAGACATAGGTTTTCCAATTCAGTAAGAGACCTGTTAACTGAACTGGAAGTGTGGAGAGACCAGCTGAATGTCAAAAAATGGTGTTTCCATTTTAGCAAACATGCCTCCTTGGATGAATGAAAAACAAATGACCCAGTTGTCAAATATACAAAAGACCTGGCCAAGGGCCATTCTTACCAACTGTATGTCTCAAAAGCGGACACACATTGCGCTTCAAGGAGCAAGGGGTTGTAAAACCATGGGGAAAGTGGGCTCGGATCTGTAGAGAGAGCATATGGACCACCTCGACAGTACCATTTATGTATGGTGGCTACTGATAATGGGGAATATATGGAGAAGGTATGGAATAAGTTGTGGTGATGCCAAGGTAGAGCCCTCAGGTCCACCGGTGCCATGTCTTGCTTGATCATTATGGAAGCTTTCCTGAAAGGTTGCGGAAACCAATCCAGTATGCAAGAAAACAATGCAGAAGTATGGTACAATTCAAAATCCGGAAGCCAAATTCCAGTAGACAATTTAGGTTTACAGAGCGTCCTGTAATTCAAAAGGGGACATTTCTGTGAAGCCAGATAAAATTGATCGCTAAGGAGCGAAGAGTGCGGAAGAATAGGGATAGTTTGAAATATGTATAATAATTAAGGGATAATATTTCATTTTTAGTATGTTTAGCCTGCCAAACCAAGGGATTTTCATAGTTTGCCACATTTCTAATGATCTGTGAATCTTGGTGAGTAGAGGACTATAGTTCAAGGCATAGAGGTCCACTAAGCAAAAGGGGAGAGTAGTCCCTAGATAAGTGATGGATCTGTGTTGCCAGAGGAATGGGAAATTAGTTTGTGTAAACAACAGGACAGAACCTGGGTGGGTGATGTTAAGTGCTTTGGTTTTTGCCAAGTTAGTTTGAAAAATGACTGAGAGAGCTGAATTGTTGTATTTTAGCCAAGATAGTGGGGATGCTGATATGAGGTTGGGTAACGTAGATGAGTAAATCATCTGCGTAAAGGGAAAGTTTACAGTGTGTAGATGGGGTCTGAATGCCATTAATCGAGGTGCCATTAGTACTGGAAAAAGAGTCCGACATGAGGCCATTAACTAAGACGGTCATGGATGAAGAGGCATACAGTGACATGATCTGAAAAGCATCTTGGGACCCATACCTACTTGTGCTAGGGTACTGGCAGAGGAAGGACCCAACTGGGTCAAAGGCCTTTTCTGCACTGAAGGAAAGGAGACATGCAGGGATTTTGTGTTGTGCAAAGGATATTATGTGTATGGTTTTAGTGGTATTGTTGTCCCTGGCTTCATGCTCAGGGACATGTATGTATGAGACCTGGGAGTAGAGGTGAGAGGCGGTTGGCTAATACTTTGGCAAACAACTTTAAATCTACTTTCAGCAGTGAAATTGGTCTATAGCTGCTACAAAATGATGTTTGGGCAGGACCATGATTTGGGCTTGCAGAAGGTGAGGTGATGGAAGATGAGAATCATTAATTGACTAAAATGCTTTTGGCCAGTAGTGGTTTGAGGAGTGGTTCGAGGGTCTTATAAAACCGTGGGGTGAACCCATCAGGGCCTGGACATTTTTCCTACTTTAAGGCCTTTAATTGCACCCAGGAACTCTGGCTTGGTCAGTGGCGAATCTGAGTCTGCAGAGCCCTTTTGCGAGAGGGTTGGTAGTGCAGTTTCTTGAATAATAAGAGTACAAATTATGTCTGGATCTAGGGGGGGTGTTGTGAGTCTGATTGTGTGAGGTTGTATAGTTGAGCATTGTATTGGCAAAAGTCAGAGGCTATCACTTCATTGTAAAGTTTAACATTCGTCTGCAACAGTATATGTGAGATCTATTGTCGAGGTTGACTGGGGTGAATGACCCGTGCCAGGCGACAACCACATTTGTTGGCCTGCGAGTTAAAAAAAAATTATACACCTTGTCTCTGGCTATGAGTGATTGATCCGCAAAGAGACACAAGTGGTCACGTCTCGCATTTAAGAGTTCAAATAAAGTGATAGAATCAAGAGTGCATTTATGAGTCCCTAAGAACGCATTTCAGCTCCTCCCTTTGGGTTAAAGAGGGGGGGGGGGTGTTGGGTCAGAGACATGGTTCAGTGAAAAGTCCCGAATCGCTTGTGTAATGGCCTGAATGCACAGCGTATTTGTTAATAAGTTGTCATTCAGTCTCCAGGAACAACATTTAGGTGTAAAAGGGAGCCTTCCCTGACTCAAGTGAACGGGGAAGTAGTCTGATCATAAGTGTAGTCCTTGGTGCATAGAGGGTCACAGGACCTTAAATAATGGACTGGTGGCTCCCTCCCCGGTGCTCAGAAAATCTCACTTTTTGTATCCAATCACCACTGATCTTCATGTACACTAGGTGCTGCTATTGAACAGAGTGCTATCATCGACTGGTAATTGGCTGCCTCTTTTTTTTCATTTATTGCTTTTGTATAATTTTGTGTATATTGTTATGCTTTATCTGTATTTTCATTGTTAATAGGTTGTATATTTTTGATTTCACTGTAGGCATTGTTGTTCCGTTTTTTTCCACTTTCCCTGAAGAAGTCGGTCACATCCCACGAAACGCGTCAGCTCTTTTGATTGATTATCCAGTT